CGGAGCGCAAAAGTTCACGTTACGGTCTGCTAAACTTTAAATGTTTGATGACCAATCATGCCACGTTTGACACCTAATTAGAGCATGTTTCGGTGTCACATGTCCACGCTTAGATGCAAGCGACGATAGCTTTATTTTTAAATGTTGATTTTCGTTTACATATCAAGAATGAGTACCCAATATAGGTCTAATAGCTTTCTTCTTACATCCAACTACAGAAGATTTTATAACAATTTATACGCCCAAATTCTGATGCTAGTTACACAGGTGGCTTTGTCATTACCGCAAAATTCTCCAATTTCAACCAAACCGATTTATTAAGATTCCAATATGACAATCAATGCCAGAGGTTTAAATCAAGCACGAAAGAGACGACAGTTGTTTAGGGGGCTTCATAATTATAAATTTGACGTAATATTCCTTCAAGAAACTTGTTCAACACAAAATGTTGAAGTGATATGGAAATCTGAATGGGGAGGGGACATTTTTTACGGTCACGTAACAAATCATTCAAAAGGTGTTGCAATTCTCTTTAACCCCAAACTGGATGTACGCATAGGAAGCTCTAAAGCTGACAAAAACGGGAGATGTTTACTACTAGAAACTTCTATATTTGAGCCTACGGTTTTGTTTTGTTACATTTACAGTCCAAATGACAATAACAATCAAAATACATTCTTCTCAAAGCTCAGTGACCAGTCTCAGAAAGCACGCTAATATGCAAATTGTTATCTCGTGCTATTTGCATATTACTAACTCTTGAACTGCATCAAAACTCACGACTCATGTCGTTCATAACCAACCTCGTTCCCAGGGTCTCTCATCTTACCGCCCCCTAGAGCGAGCTCCGGGGGGCGGTAAGATGAGAGACCCTGGGAACGAGGTTGGTTCATAACTAGCCACCAGTAGACTAAAATAATGCACTCTAAAACAACCCAAAGCACTATAACTATGGCCGTTCTCAACTGTATCGGGATCAAATCTTCTCACATACCATTTACCTTGACAACAAGAAATTTGATTCGCTGTTTATAGTAGATACAATCTGATTGGTGTGACATACATCACTCACTCACTCACTCACTCACTCACTCACTCACTCACTCACTCACTCACTCACTCACTCACTCACTCACTCACCCGTAACATACTCAACGCGCCGACTAAGAGGTATTTTTTTGTAAAAAAAAATAACTCAATGATATTTCATATATTCACCTGTACGTGCATGAAGTATTTAAAAAAGAATAAGGTTCCACCGTTCGCTGCTGTTAATGGAATGCAGTTTTCAATAAAACCAGAATGTTTTGAATTTAACGAGTTAGAATAGAGATTACTTGCTCCAAGGTTAGCATTTCAAAAACTAATGCAGGCTCCAAGAGGAAAGCAATTGAAAATAACAGGCAATGTTGTAAATGTACCAGCAGATGTCAGTAGCACTGTGAATTTGTTACCTAGGTTAGAGAATGAAACTGGGACAATTAAAGTGAAGCTGAACAGAAGATTATAGTACAAAAGTTCTGCATTGTCTTTAAATGTAAGGCCACAGAACGTAACTCAGGCTGCCTTCTGGCTTATGGAAAACAGTGATCTTTATGAAGAACAAATTAAGTAAGATGTTAAATTTCTGTTGGTGTTACTGTAAATCAAATGACATTCTTTACTTCAAATAAAAATGTTACGTGTTAAAAGTTCAAAATAACTTACAAATAAGAAACATCAAGAACATTTGATGTTAATGTACCACTAAAGTAAGTTAGACTAACTCTTACAAATAAGAAACATTTTCAAAATCTTTCTAATTGTTCATGTTGATAATATACCACATAAGTAAGACGTTAACTTTCTGTTGTTACTGGAAAATGAAATGATTTTTACTTCCCATAAAAATGTTATGTTTAGTTCAGTTCCATAATCTTTTAATGTTTCATTATGTAAGAAGTATGCATCCTCCCTTGCAGGAAACATCAATACCACAATAACCTGCTTTGTTCTTCAATGACATGAGTAATTTGTGTTGCGGAATTTTTGTTCCACCCGCTGGCTCAATTGGACACTGTATCCATCACACTCAAAAACGGTCTAGATCAACAATCACGAGTTTATTCGTCTAACCTTACACTCTCAAGGGTTCTCCTATCTCAATGCAATGTAAGTGACCTTACCGTTTTCACTGTTATCTTGTACAATACAGTACCTTTACCTATCACATGTACAGCTTACAGTAATATAACTATCGTACGATGTACCTAGAGTTAAGTTACAATTTAAGACGTTCACATGATCTCCTTCCTTATTTGGTTCAATTAACGCGTGCAAAGTACACCAGCTGATAAACTACGGACTAAGTTCAATTTACTGTGAAAAGTTGCACTCTATCACGAAATCATTTAACTAATTCCTTGTACATTTAATATTCGACTTATTATTAATAGACAACTAACATATTTTCCCCGACAATTTACAACAAAGTGTCTTTTCAACTCGCTATTCTTGCTACTAGGCAAATTATTAACCCGACAAACTCGTCCCTAATTCTTCATTTTCCCGATGCACTCTTTTTATCTCTTCCCTTACATACAGTGAAAAACAGGCCGCAAAAAAGCCACTAGGTAAGGATTTCTATGCCTTCGAAAAGATAACGCATTCTAAGATGCAATAAAAGAACGGGAAAAGGGTTTCTTGACGCAGTTCTGTAGCTGTTTTGCCCAACATAAAAAAAACATAGGCACGCAAGACGTGCAAGAGTTATTTTTTTCTGTGAAGTTTTGGAGATAGAAGCACTCATGGTACAGTAATGATTTGGTTAATTTGACACGTTTTTTTGGTTGCGATGTTACATCGGTCATGGTAAGATAGCTAAATAGTAAGCCATAAAATGTTTGACTGAACAAACTACAGTAATCTGACACGTCTT